GGGTCGCTATGAGTCGGTTCCGACTCGATGGCACCTGACAACAACAATTACTGTTTGATCTACAACTTTATCCTTTGAAACTCAGGGCTGCAGGATGGCCATTTATTTTTTGTGTTTTAAGACTGGTGCACTAAGGGCTAAAGAATTTATTTGTTTATGTCTAGAAAGCAAGAAGGTACACTTAGCATCAAAGCTGTAGTAAATCCTTCCTTGATGAATAAGCTTGTCCTTCAGATCTTACAGTACTTTGAGAGTATCATTATATAAAAATTATCTACTTTGTGCTGTAGATTTGCAGAATGGTAGCTCAGTAAAAATTTGGGATCAATGCAATACCAGAAATAAGAGTTTATATTCTATGCTTACTTTTCAATGACTGTAATCTAAAAAAGGCAATAATTCAATCTGGTATATTCAATGTCATGAATATCAACTCATCAGAATGGCAGTAAAAGGTGACTTCTCAAAGAAAACGTATTTTGTCATAACTTCAGTAAATGGTTAACAAGTTGTATACAGATGTTTGTATAAGCCAGGAATTCCCAAGAAAGTTGGTCATTTTTTCCATTCATTTCATTAGCTCTGTCAAACAAAAGCCCAACATGAACCAAGTATCAAACAGTACAGTATTTTGATGAAACACTTACATAAAATAAATGTAATCTACCCATTCCTAAAATCTAAATGTGTTTAAGAACAGAAGGGCTTTTGGGTATAACTCTTCAGATACACATATGTATATGTGTATGTATGTGGGAGCGCCGTGGCTCCGTACAATGAGGACTGGACTAAGAACCACAAGGTCCGTGGTTTGAGCCTTCCCGCCATTCTGCGAAGGAATATGAGCCTTTCTACTCTCATGAAGATTTAAAGCCTTGAATCCCTAAACAGGGTCACTGTGAGTCAGAACTGACTCAATGGCACTTAGCAGTAACAATGTATGTGTATCTATATGGAGCCCTGGTGTAGGATAAGCATCAAACTTCCAACTGCAAGGTCAGTGGTTCATACCCACTAGCTGCTCCTTGGGAATCCTAAAGAAGATCTCTTATGAGTTAGGACTGACTCGCCGACACTTAACAACATGGATATATGTGTATGAGTACATTATAACTTGCCTTTTTAAAAAAAGGTATGGGGTTAAATGTGGATTTGAGGTAAAACTTTGACTTGCTGAAATTCTGTTATGCCCAGGTTTGGCATATGGATAGTTTGGTGGAATTATGATGCTTTTACAGAATCTGTTGTTGTCAGTGTGGTCAGGGATTTGGCCCTTCCTTAGATTTGAAGTAGAAGTGAAATTGACTAATTCAAATTTGACAAGTGAATTTGACTAGTTAAAACTTTAATGAAGAGCATAGGAGCTTTCTGGCAATTTGGAATGTCTATCCAAAAAGGCCCAACCTTCGGTTTATAAGACTTTGCTCATCCTACTTGCTTTTTTTTTTTCAGGCTACAACTGAAGTGGAGATTAAGAAGAGAGGCCCTGGATCTCTCCTAGTTTCCATGGAGCAGCTGGCCTCCTATGGACGAAAGGACAGAATCAACAGTATTATGAGTGTCGTTACAAATACACTAGTAGAAGGTATGTGCCCTGTGATGTCAGTTCAAACTGTTGAGATAGAAATGTGTCATGTGAATGGTAATTATAATGTCCTTTGGTTCGAATTTTGCAAAAATTGTCTCTGAGCTTCAGGAATAGAGCCAACTGGTTACAGAAACCAGCAATCCAAATCCTATTCCAGAATCCAAATGTAGGAGATCAGTTAAGGACTTCAAAGCTGCTGCCAGCATTGTGTACAGATAGGTAGGATCTGACATCTAGGTTGGTCTCAAGATGTCCCTGTAGTCAACATCATGAGAAGGGGATATTGGAGTGGTGTGAGGCATAAAGTAATGTAAAGAACTGCAAGGACAGAAAATGGCCTCCCCCTTGTGCCCTCTACCCTAACACATACCCACTTCTTTTTCGTTTGGTTTCCCCTTAAGGAAGAATGTACTGTGCTTTTCTGTTGCACCTAATTCTGCCTCTCTTCAAACACCCCCACAAATCCATAAATATATTTGATGTGTGAATAGGTAAGCTGAAACCCTTCATACTTTGGGCTCTCTCTGTGCACAAGGAAAGAACAACCGCTGTTGAGTTACAGCATGACTGCAGTAATGTTGCTGTCAGTGCCTGAGTTCTGTGCATTAGGTTGTTCCTCCATGGCATGGCCTAGCATGCTGGGGAATAGCCCAGTAGGGAATAGCCATTATACCAACAGTTCCCCCTAGCAAGTCATAGCAGAAGCGTCCTATCCGATGATAGCATATATTCTAGGCTCGTCTTACTTTCTTTTTAGGTATATTAAGTGACTAGGTTTTCTCTCACAAGATTCGGATCAGTTATGCATGAATTGTCCCTATTTGATTCATGTTCATTGAGCTGAGTTGTCCCATTGTGGATACAGGCTATTCTTGAGGCCTCAGCTTGCTGTTCTTCAGGGTCCAAAACCATGCTGGAGTCTTTGTGACCGAGACTCAAAATTATCCTCGTGTTCTTGGAAATAAGTTGTTTTTTGAATCATTTAAGCCTCAGTGCCACTTTCGTTCAGTGTGTTAGGGGCATGGGGAGATGAGAACTGGAGTGAAACCAGAACTAGATTAGTCTTGAGACTGTATCAAATAGAAAGACGATTCAACTAACTCCATTCAACTACCTGAACAACCTTATATTTGCTCTTTTTTTTTTTTTTACCATTGAGGTCATTGTCTTACAGAACATCTTTTAAACTTTGTAGTTTATACTTTGAAATGATAAACTAATATAAGATTATAAGAATACAAGATAAGAAAACCTGACTTAAGAATGTTGACTAGTTTTACTATTCACTTGGAGACCAAGAAAGTATTTCTCAGAGTATCTGTGAAAATTGAGAAAGAAAAACTAATAAGATTCCTGATCACTGAAGTGGTGGACAGTTGTACTAAAGCAAAGAGGAAAGGGTAAGAAGGGACAGGAAAACCAGAGTACTGGAAGTGAAACATCTGGAAGGGAAATACTAAAGAATGGTGGCACAGTGTATAAACATGTAGCCCATGTCTCTGAACAAGTCATGCAGTCATTGTTAAAGAGAACTATTTTATATATAAACTCACCAAAAGGACAATTAAATATTATTTTTTAAAAGAATTTTCATCAGAAGGGGGAAAATGAAGAACATAAAAACAACAGTGTTCACATAGGCTGCACATTTCCTGCTGTTTGCTACACAGCTATTCCTCCTATCCCCGCTTCTTTGGCTCCCTTTGTAAAGCTAATGGGACAGAACTGCTATAAGCAAACAGTGTTGAATGGCTGGAGCTGAAAAATGTGCGAGGGAATTAAAGGGCACTAAGAAAGATCTAATCATTGGTCCCTCTGTAGTTAATATTTACTGCCACATTAAAAGCCACCATTTAATGAATCATTGTTTCCACTTCCCAGATTTTCAGTTAGGAAACTGATATTATTATATTTAATCCAAAGATTAAGATAATTATTCCAAACCAAAGAATCAGGCTCTTACCTACCTAATGGTTTAGAAATCACAGTGGAGAATTCTAGATTCCTTCAAATAATTACAAACTCTAGCCTGTTCTGACTCACCCTTACCCTGATGCAGTCATGCCCACCAGAATTTTAACACGGTGCCCCACACCACTCAGCAGAATCCACAGTTAGCAGAGCCATAAGCTCTGGGGGTTCACAGAGGACTGGGGATAGGGCGTAGGCAAAGAGTTGTGTAGTTTCATGTCTCAAAACAGTAAAGCTGTGGGAGAGGAGAGAGAGAGAGAGTTAACGAAGTAAAGAATGAGGAAGAGATGGTGGTACTAATAATCATTGGAGCGCACATAAAGTGGTTTCTAAAACTCCCCTAAAGGGTAATGAGTTTCTGTTAAGGGTAAAGGAAAATTTGGAAACAGATAATGGTGATGGATGCACAACATGGTAACTAATTAATGACACTGAATTACATACATGGAAAAAAGGCTGCCATGGCAAGTGTTTTGTTTTGTATGTATGTTTGAAACAAAATGAAACTCCCCTATTGAGATAACTGTCATAGCTCTTGTTGTTATTGTAGTTGTTAAAGTGCCCTGGAGTCGGTTCCGACTCATAGCAACCCTGTTATAGGGTTTCCCAGTAGTGGATGGTGAGTTTGAGCCACTGGCCTTACGATTCAAACCGACCTTGTGATCCAGTGCTTATCCTACAGCACCATACCAGGACTCCAGTGGTGGTGGCTGTGTGCTGTGGTTGGTGCCGACTCACAGCGACCCTGTACAGGATTTCCAAGGCTGTAAATCTTTACAGGAGCAGAAAGCCTCATCTTTCTCCCAGGACTCCAGTAGTCACTCTTTATTGATCCGTTTATTTAACCAGCAAACATCAACTGTGTATGTAATTGTTGGTGTTGTTAAGTGCCATCGAGTTAGTTCCAGCTAATAGCAACCCTGTATAGAGTTCTGAGGAGTGGCTGGTGAGTTCGAACTGCCAACCTTGCTGTTCAAACTGACCTAGCGGTCTGGTTATTTTCCTCCGGCGCCACACCAGGACTTCCCAGTGCATTGTTGGTCCTTAAAAGGTGTTGAATTGAGAGAAGCCCCTACTTTCACAAACCTCCTAGTCTACCAAAGCCACCATCTTGGTAGAATTATGAGACCATCTCTAAAAATAATTCCCAGAACCCCTGAGATAAAAAAAGACCTGTAGTAAACTCTCTGAAATTGCCCAGGAACAAAGTAAAGAGACCCCATAAACTTTTGGATATTTCACTTTCATGTGTTAACTAACCTGTTCCTCCCAGCGAAATTACTAGTCTTTCCAGACATATAGGGCCAGTAACAGTTTGCAAGGTTATGAATCACATTATAAATCTCCTCATTCACCTAGTAGAGCTTTTATAGATCCTAAAGCTGCAAATCTTCTTTTTATTGGTGGAACAGGGGAGATTACCCTCAGGGCCTTCCTTTTCAGTAGATGTGATTATGAGGTCCTTCTTCTCTCTGTTGAAATCTTCTTGTGCCCTGTAGGGTAGGGAAACCCCTCTTTCCTGTGTGGCAAAGACTGGGAGTCTGCTTCATTGTTAAGACATAACAATTGGGTCCAACTGTCAGAAATGTGAACAGTCACTGCTTTAACCTCCACGTGCCAACAAGCAACAGACATTTGGAGAAGGGAGGAGATAAAAAAAGGAACGGAACTAAATTTCCAAATATGTACTATAAGAATTTATGGAAATAAGAGAACCTTTTCATTTTCTTTTTTGGGGACGAAAACTAAATTTACCTTGGGAAGGGAGGCAGTTCTATGAGGAAGAAACCAAAGCAAATTTTCTTCACAGACTTCCTTTCCCACACAGACACCCACGTGGTGCTTACTGTGGCCCGTAAATCTGAAAAACCAAGGCAACCATTTTCTTAGCAACCAGGAAGCCAATCAGAAACCATAATCAAAACCACCTCATCTAAAATAAAGCCATCACCATGGGCACCACCCAGCTGGTTGGAATAAGGGAAAGTAGACTGATTTAAGACAGCCATCTTGTTCATGGTAAAATCTTGAGAAACTTTTTAAAATTCCCTAAATAACTTTATTTTGCCAACTGAATTGGGCAGCGGAAAGGATGCTATTATACCAAACCCCATGGAACCAATACCTTGTGTTTAAGGATTATCATTATGACTGGTTTTCAAGGTTGCACTTCTAAAAGAGCATCATCCTCTCAGTTCAAGGCCCTTGGAATTTTGTAGTCCTCGCTATTAACAGTTCATACCTAATGTGATGAGTGCTTTGTTGTCTAATGCCTCGTGCCTACATCTTTATAACTGCCAACTGCATGGGTCCCTGCCTGTAGTATCTAATTTTGCTTTTTAATCTGCTTTGTAAAGAGATTTATCTAGTCCAGTGATTTTCAAGAGTCCAAGCTTCTAGGGAAGTAACTCACCCAGACCCATACTCCTGCTTCAACCAGAGCAAATCCTGGTTTACATATTGAGAGGAAGGAGAGTGTCACACGGTATCTTATTTGGGAAAAAACAAAACAGATTCTGCTGCTTAAAGACAGACAAACAGACAGAGAAGATGAAGGAGAGTGAGAAAAACAGGAGGGAAGGAAGGGGACAAAAAGAGGAGAAGGGGAAGAGTAGGAGAGGAGATAGGAAAAGAGGTATAAAAAAGGAAAGGAATATTACTTATAATTCTAACTCAATTGTAAATTCATTGAAGGTGAAAACAGTGATTTTTACGTCTTTGGGAACATAATAGCGGTATTCCACCTAGTGAGTTGGTTGACAATGCCGACTCTGCTGCTGTTAATAATGACAATAACAAATACTTTGATAACATTTACAGTGCCATGTTCCAAGGCACTTTGTATATATTTTAACTCATTTAATTCTCACAAGTTGAAGTACTGTGTTATAGGTCCTACAGTTAGGAAGCATCTGAGATGGTATTTGAGTCTAGTGTGGCACTGGACAATAAACACTGGGCTGCTAACCACAAGGTCAGTGATTCAAACCCACCAGCTCCTTCTCAGAAACCCTATAGATTCACTATGAGTTGGAACTGACTTGAAGACACTGACAACAGCAAGTTTGACTTCAGAAGTCATGCTTTTGATTGTTTCTCTGAGAATACTATAATAAGGTCTACCATTTATTGAAAAGGAGCTCTGGTAGTGTAGTGGTTTCAAATCGGGCTGCGAACCTCAGGGTCATGAGTTCAAAACTACCAGCTATTCCGTGGGAGAAAGATGAGGCTTTCTGCTCCTGTAAGGATTTACAGCCTCGGAAACCCTATATAGGGTCACTATGAGACAGAACTGACTCCACGGCACATAACCACCACCACCACCATTTATTGAAAGGAGTCCTGGTAACGTAGTGAGTTGCAAGTTAGACTGCTAACTGCAAGGTTGGTAGTTCAAATCTACCAGCTGCTCCATGGGAGAAAGATGGGGCTTTCTGCTCCTGTAAAGATTCACAGCCTCGGAAAGCACTATAGGGTCATTAGGAGCTGGGACCCACTCCATAGCCCACCACCACCACCACTACCAGTCATGGGGCCTTACTTTGTGCCAGGCAGTGGGCTGTCTGCTTTATGTGTGCCAGCTCATAGTTAATCGTTACAGCTGTTATGTAGGTGCCCCGCTTTACAGGTGAGGCTACATAGAGAGGTCCAAGATCTTTGAGATAATATAAAGGATAAGTGTTGAAATCAGTTGGACCAGGATGTCAGACTCGAGAGCCCAAACTTCAAACCACTCTGCTGTTCATATGATACATTGAGTTTTGTTGGTCACTAGATAATTATTAACAGGGAAAGGACCTTACACTACACAGAAGGGAAACTGAGGGAAACACAGCAATGTCAGCACTCAAGCAGTCTTTATTCTCATATTATTAACAGTGATAACAGTCCAATTAAGGATCATTAGTGTATCCCCTTGCTTTCCTCAGAATGATTGAGGGACTATCTTTGTTCTTTACTTACTGCAGAGCTGGAAGAGTCCCAGAGAAAGTGCCCACCATGCTGGTATAAATTTGCTAACACTTTCCTCATCTGGGAGTGTCATCCATACTGGATAAAACTGAAGGAGATTGTGAACTTGATAGTTATGGACCCTTTTGTGGACTTAGCCATCACCATCTGCATAGTCCTGAATACACTGTTCATGGCAATGGAGCACCATCCGATGACACCACAATTTGAACACGTCTTGGCTGTTGGAAATCTGGTAAGATATTGTGATTTGAACATGCTTTGCCTATAGAACATCGTTTTTCCGGTACTGAAAGCTGGAGTTGAGTTGAAAAGAAAGTACTAGTTAATTGGAAGACAAATGCTTCCACATATGCCACAGCCCCAGCCACATCTGCTCACTCTTGTGATCCCTTGGCTGTTTCCTCTTTCTGCAGAACTTTGAAGACGTCATTTAGGAGCTCTTGGCAGAAAACCAACATGGTGACAGAATGGGAGGCATGGTACAGTGGGTTGGTTTCAGCAACCTGAGCCAAGGACTTCTGGCTTTTTTTTTCTCATTCTGTTTCTCACATTGAAGCCTGCAGTGCTCCAGCAAATCCCTTCTCCTTTCACCTTCAGTAACAACCACCACAAAATAAGGGAGCTCTGTTCGAGCATTAATGTAACTATAAATGTGCCTGCACTGTCACATCATTATCCACATGGGGGCTATTTATGGGAAATCTTTAGTTCTAGTCTGTTTCCCCATCCAATCCAACTTCTGGGCTATCATCCAGTTTCTACCATCAGTTGATCTATGCCAAATTTATTTTAATGTTAACTTCAGTCATATGTTTAATGCATTATATTATCTAGAAGAGAAATAAGCAGTTTAAAAGCTCGATGACAACAGTATAAGCTGAAACTAGATACTTGTGATTTCAGGATGATCAGTTTTACTTCCTTCGTACAGAAATCAGAAGTGGGTTAAATTTTGATAGATAGTAAAGAATGAGTTGGGAAGAATCCTGTAGGTCATCTGGCCCAATTATTCCTTAGGCATGCTCAACTCTAGCTTGCTGACATTGAATTTGAGCATGATCTTTGTCCATTATCTCTCTCTCTTTCTGACTGACAGACAGACACACATTATTTTTGGTTCTGATTCTGATACACAAGGCGAAAAGAATCCTTTATCTCTGGAGACCCTGTCACCTGTTGTTTTCCTTGATGCACATCCAAGATAATTGTGTGTTCTTTCCAAGTGTCTGTGTCTGGGGTTAGCAACACGCTCGCTCCAGGCTCACTGCTGCAGCGTAAACCCTGTGTGCGGCTGGATGGACACATGCAGTCTTAAAATAGGACGTTCCCACAGATGGTCCAGGGAGGCTGCTGATAGGCTCTGAAAGGTGCCCACGTGCGCTGACACAGGATGCTGTAGCCATCAGACAGAATTGTGAGCCAGTCACCAGTATCGTACAGATAGAAGGTTTATTGTTTTAGCCACAAGTTAAGTAATGAGAAATACAGCATGATCACTTGGATTTTGTTTTTGCTATTGTTGCTTTCCCTTAGTGTTTTGTTCCTCTCAACGCCTTTCTATTTCCTTGCATTTTACAGAATCAGTCCTTGATTTCTAAGGGATTTTGTGGGGCCTTTTCATCTACCACCAGCAGAAGTGTCCTAAGACCAGGCCAACAAACAATGATTATTTTTCCTTTTCTTAAAAAATTTACAGAGACTTAGGGTCACACCAGAATTAGAGTTGTGAGCATTTAGAAGACTTTGCTGTGAGACATCATCGAGGAAAGAAAAGAGAAGGTAGGCAGTTAATATTGAGGGACTTCATGAAGCAAGCCATCCCAGGACCAAGTTCTAAAGTGAGGAAGTACTCTGAGGCAAGCATTTTCAAGAGGAAAATGCAGTTAGTCCTGCACGTGGAGAGTAGTGAGTGGTTCAGGATACTGTGGATTGGCTGTTGGCATGAAGGAAGAAAAATCAGGAATGGCACTTAGGTCTGAGGATTTAGTAACTGAGGAAGGAGCAGGTGTGGTGTTTAAAATCTAAGTTCTATTTTGGTTATATTAAGTGTGAGATGTCTATTCACTGAGTTGTCAATGTTGTTGTTGTTAAGTGCCATCAAGTCAGTTCTGGCTCATAGTGATTCTATAGGATTTCTGAGGAGCGGCTGATAGATTTGAACCACCAATCTTGTGATTAGCAGTCCAGTGCTTGTATTAGAATGCCAGACCTGGTCTCCATTCAGTGAGTGGAGATGCCAAATTAGGTAGTTGGACACGTGCTGGACCTCAGGAAAGTGTCAATCATGAATGTCTTTTGGACAATACCAGAAAGTCAAAGATATACTTCACTACCACTACCACTAACACAATTTCTGAATTTAGCAAAAACAGCACAGATCTAAGTCAGAAGGTTTGGGTTATGGTTCCAATTAGATATAACTTCACCTTAAATAGGAGTGCAGTGTCATTGTAGAATAAGTACTTGAACTGCAAACTATAACGTCAGTGGCTCCAGCCCACCAGCCGCTCCATGGGAGAAAGATGAGGCTTTCTGCTCCCTCAAAGATTTACAGTCTTAGAAATCCTAAATAGGGTCACTATGAGTTGGAATCTACTTGGCAACACTTAGCAACCACAACCACCTTGAATAAGCCATTGATTTCTATGCAGAAATGTTTTATATCTATGACATGCACATAATACCCTGTCCTGGGTTCAAAGGTGGTTGGGAGGATAAAATGAGAACACATACTGAAGTTTTTGGAATCGTTAAAAGAACTTACAAAGCATAGGCACTGTGTGAGCATAATTCAGTAGGAGAATGTTCACAGGTTTGAAGATTTGTATAGAGTTTTGCAGAACCTTAGAATAAGAGTTTGGGAAAAGTAAGATTGACTGGGTTGAACAATAAAGAGTGCAACTTTGTGTCACATTTGGACTGCAGGGAGGGAGGAGGATTCCTTAACCATGCCAGTGAATTCGATTTTGTGTATCTTTAAGACATGCAGAGGAGTCTAGGTGGTTCAAGCACTTTGTAATAGTCTGCTCGCCTGAAAGATTGGCATTTCAAACCCACCCAGCAGCTCCCTGGAAGAAAGGCCTGGTGAACTGCTTCCATGAAGATTACAGCCAAGAAAACTCTCGGAACAGTTCTACCCAGTACTACCGGGGTTGTCATGAGTCTGGGGCTGACTCAAGAGCATATGGTTGTGGCTCTTGTTATGTGCCGTGGAGTCGATTCCGACTCATAGCGACCCTGTACAGGGTTTCCGAGGCTGTAAATTTTGATGGGAGCAGAAAGCCTCATCTTTCTCCCACAGAACAGCTGGTAGTTTCAAACTGCTGACCTTGTGGTTCGCAGCCCGATTCATAACCACTACGCTACCAGAGCTCCCGGTTCCAGTTCATAGAAATCCTGTGCACAACAGAACTGACCATTGCCCGGTCCTGCACCATCCTTGCAATTGTTCAGCTGAGCCGTTGTTACAGCCACTGTGAGTCCTTCTTGTTGAAGGTCTTTCTCTTGTTCACTTTTCCACAACACCCTCTCTGGGCCACCTCGCACATAGTAGTCCTCCCTACCCTGCTCGGGCTCTGACACACACAGCAAGCTGCCTTCTCCCTGGGGGTGCCATCTTCACCCTCTGTCAGGGCCTCTCCCCACTCCACGGTGAATGACTTCCGGGTGCATTTGGCCTCTGCAGCCTGTGCTCTCCTCCATAAGTACTCTCCTGTCTCTCTCAGGCTCTGCTGTAATTACATGTAATGTAACGTCCTTGCTGTCAGTGTTCCTCCATGGATGTCCTCCTCACCACACTTGGCTCTCACGCCCCACTTGGGCTGCCCTGCTTCCCTGGGTGAATTGTGTTTGAGATTGAATTGTTAGAGGGTTGTGTGGAAGCACAGCCACAGGCTTAACAGTTAAACTGCAAAGTTTCATTTCTGAGATATTCTGAGCAAAAAAGAAAAAAACAGTAAGTTACTTTCCTTCTTAACCAAATACGCATGAATCTTGCCATTTCTTAACTATAGCTTATCTAGATTTCAGCCAAAAAAGAATTCAGATCCTAATTTTTTTTTCCCATCTGTGTTTTTGTTGGCCCTTAGCATCCCTTTTTAAAATATTTACTATATGATATTTTCATTTTTGTGATTGTGTCCTCTTAGTTGGGTCATGAAGCTTCCTGATTTGCATGGGCCTGAGGGGACTCCTGGGACTTGGAACGTTCAGTTTTAAAATTGAGAAGTCCTGAGCAAATCAGTCCAAGTTTGTCATCCTGCCTCCTGGTCTTAAGTTCCTGTGCAGCCATGTGGCTCTGTGAGATAAAGCACCGGACTGCAAAGTTGGTTTGAACCAGAAGGTTGTCAGCCATTCAAACTCACCAGCTGCTCCTTAGAAACCCTCTACAGGATCACTATGAGTCAGAACTGACTCAATGGCACTTAACAACAACAACAATTATAAAACAAATAAAGTTTTATAAAACCAATTGTTGTGCAGTGATTCCCAACTCATAGAAAACTTACAGGCCGGAGTAGAACGCCCCATAGAGTTTGCAAGGCTGTAATCTTTCCGGAATCAGACTGTGATCTCTTTCTGCTGTGAAGTGTTGCTGGGGTCAAACTGCCAACCTTTCAGTCAGCAACTGGGTCCCTAACCACGAGCCACCAGGCTCTTTATGTAGGGCTTCAGTGAACATTACTAAGTTGAATTTCATTAACTTTTTGGGGGGAGGTCCGCTACAAAAGAGCTGATTAGCCCCTTCTTAGAATAAAGATGTTGTTAGGTGTCATTGAGTCGATTTCAACTCTTGGTAACCTTACATACAACAAAGCAGTCCTGCACCATCCCACAACTGTTGTTGTTAAGTTCCATAGAGTTGGTTCCAACTCTTAGCAACCCTGTATAGGGTATCTGAGGAGTGACTGATAGTTTTGAACTACAGCAGTCCAGTGCTTACCCTATAGTGCCATACCAGAACTCCAAAGAGAAGTACACAAAACCCCAGTCCCCACGTAAATGAGTGCAGATACAATTTGGCAGAAGGCACTGTGCCTCTTCCAGTTCCTTTCCACACTCCAGTGACCCTCAAGTGAAAGGCCTCATGCGTAGGACACTGTCACCTGTACTTGGTGGTCTGGCCTAAGTCCTGTGCTAGGGGCTTGTCCAACACAGAACTATATGCTCACAGGGAGTTCAGGACATGCTATCACATCTCAAACTTTTTAGGTTTGGGGACCCCTTGTACTC